GCAGATTTCTCAGCAGAAACTTAGCAAACCAGAAGAGAATGGAATGATATATTTATTTTTTTTATTTATTTATTTTTTTTTGAGACGGAGTCTCGCTCTTGTTACCCAGGCTGGAGTACAATGGCGCGATCTCGGCTCACCGCAACCTCCGCCTCCTGGGTTCAGGCAATTCTCCTGCCTCAGCCTCCTGAGTAGCTGGGATTACAGGCACACACCACCATGCCCAGCTAATTTTTTGTATTTTTAGTAGAGACGGGGTTTCACCATGTTGACCAGGATGGTCTCGATCTCTTGACCTCGTGATCCACCCGCCTCAGCCTCCCAAAGTGCTGGGATTACAGGCTTGAGCCACCGCGCCCGGCCTGGAATGATATATTTAAAGCGCTGAAAGTGGGGGAAGGGGGAACTCCCAGTCAAGAATAATACTATACCCAACAACACTATCCTTCAAAAATAAAGGAGAAATAAAGTCTTCCCCAGACGAGCAAAAACTGGGAGAATTAATTACCTCTAGACAGGTCCTACAATAAATTCTTAATGGAATCCTACATCTAGAAGCAAAAAGACAATATCTACCATCATCAAAACACATGCAAGTATAAAACTCACTAGTAGAGTAGACACCTGAATGAGAAAGAGAAAGGACTCAAACATTAGCACCACAGAAAACCACCAAACTGCAATGATATACAATAAGAGAGAAAGAAAGAAAGAAAGAACAGATATACAAAACAACCAGAAAACAACAAAAATGACAGGAATAAGTCCTCACATATCAATAATAACCTTGAATGTAAGCAGACCAAATTCCCCACTTAAAAGATATAGTCTGGCTGAATGGATTTTTTTAAATGATGCCACTATATGATGCCTATAAAAATACTCACTTCACCTGTAAAGACATATTTAGAATGAAAGTGAAGGAATGAAAAAAGATATTCCATGCAAATGGAAAACAAAAGCAAGCAGAAATAGCTATAATTATATCAAGTAAAACAGACTTTAAATTAGAAACACTGAGGAAAAAAAACCAAAGAAGGTCATTATATAATCATTAAAGGATCAATTCAGCAAGAGGATATAATAATTCTAAATATATACGCGACCAACATTTGAGCATCCAGGTACATAAAGCAAATATTATTAGATCTAAAGGAAGAGATAGGCCAGGCACGGTGGCTCATGCCTGTAATCCCAGCACTTTGGGATGCCAAGGCAGGAGGATCACTTGAGCCCAGGAGTTCAAGACCAGCCTGGGCAACATGGGAAGACCCCCACCTCTACAAAAGTACAAAAAATTAGCCAGGCATGATGGCATGCACCTGTAGTCCTAGCTACTGGGGAGGCTGCAGTGGGAGGATTGCTTGAGTCTAAGAAGTCAAGGCTGTAGTGAGCTCAGATTGTGCCACTGCATTCCAGCCCGGGTGACAGAGTGAGACCCTGTCTCCTAGATGGATGGATGGATAGATAGGTAGGTAGATAGATAGATAGATAGATAGACTCCAATATAGTAATAGTTGGAGACATCAACACCCCACTCTCAGTAATGGATAGATCATCTAGACAGAAAATCAACAAATAAACCCTGGACTTAAACTACACTCCAGACCAAGTGCACCTAGCATTTGCCAAACATTTCATCTAACAGCTGCAAATACATAATCTTTTTTTTTTTCTTTTATTTTTGAGATGGAGTTTTGCTTTTGTTGCCCAGGCTGGAGTGCAGTGGTGCAATCTCAGCTCACTGCAACCTCTGCCTCCTAGTTCAAGCAATTCTCCTGCCTCAGCCTCCAGAGTGGCTGGGATTACAGGCACCCGCCACCATGCCCAGCCAATTTTTGTATTTTTAGTAGAGACGGGTTTCACAATGTTGACCAAGATATTCTCAATCTCCTGACCTTGTGATTCACCCACCTTGGCCTCCCAAAGTGCTGGGATTACAGGCATGAGCCACAGCGCCCGCCCAGAATATATAATCTTCTTATCAGCACGTGGAACATTCTCCACGATAGACCACATGTTAGGACACAAAACAAGTCTTAGAAATTTTTGAAAAATCAAAATCATATCAAGTATCTTCTCAATAAAAGGAGAAACTTTGGAAACTGTAAAAACACATGGAACTTAAACAACGTACTTTTTCTTTTTGACGGAGCCTCACTCTGTCACCCACACTGGAATAGTAGTGTGATACCAGTTCACTGCAACCTCCATCTCCTGGGTTCAGGTGATTCTTCTGCCTCAGCCTCCCAAGTAGCTGGGATTATGGGCGTGCACCATCACACCTAGGTAATTTTTGTATCTTTAATAGAGTGGGGTTTTACCACATTGGACAGGCTGGCCTCAAAGTCCTGGCCTCAAGTGATCCACCTCAGTCAGCCTCCCAATGTGCTGAGATTATAGGCATTAGCCATCATGCCTGGCCAACAACATACTCTGAAATGATTATTGGGTCAATGAACAAATTAAGAAGGGTATCAAATAATTTCTTGAAACAAATGAAAATGGAAACACAACATACCAAAATATATAGGACACAGCAGAAGCAGCGCTAGGAGAGAAATTGATAGCAGTAAGCGCCTACATCAAAAAAATAGAAAGTTTTCAAATAAGCAACCTAACAGTGCACCCCAAGGAACTAGAAAAGCAAGAACAAACCAACTCCAAAATTAGGAGAAGGAAAAGAATAATAACATTACAGTACAGCAAAACAAAATAGAGACTGAGAAATATTTAATTGATGAAGTTAAACATTATTTGTTTCAATGGATAAACAAAATCAATAAACTGCTAGCTAGACTCACCAAGAAGAAAAGAGAGGAGACCTAAATAAATAAAGTCAGAAATAAAAAAATGAGACATTACTCCTGAGATGTTTAATCGGCACTAGATTAAAAAAAAGAAGAAGAAAATAAAAAATGAGACATTACAACTGTTTCCAGAGACATACAAAAATTCATCAGAGACTATTATGAACAAACTATACACAAATAAATTGGAAAACCTAAAGACAATGGATAACTGGACACATACAATCTACCAATATTGAACCGGGAAGAAACAGAAAACTTGAAAAGACCCATAACGAGTAATGGAATTCAATTAGTGATAGAAAGTCTCCCAAAACCGAAAAGCCGAAGACCAGATGGCTTCACTGCTGAATTCTACCAAACTTATAAAGAAGAAATAATACCAATTTTCTCAAACTCTTCCAAAAACTGAAGAGGAAGAAATTCTTCCTAACTCATTCTATAAGGCCAGAATTACCCTGACACCAAAATCAGACAAAAACACAACAAAAAAAGAAAACAGGCCAATATCCCTGAGGAACATAGCTGCAAAAAACCCTCCACTAAATACTAGCAAACCAAATCCAACAGCACATCAAAAGGATAATACACCATGATCAAGTGGGATTTACTCCAGAAATGCAAAGATGGTTCAATATGCACAAATCAATAACCAGGGATACATCACATCAGCAGAATGAAGGACAAAAACCATGTGATTGTCACAATAGTTGCAGAAAAAGCATTCAATAAAATTCAACATCCTTCATGATAAATATTCTTAACAAATTAGGCATAGAAGAAACATACCTCAACTTAACAAACTCCATAAATGACAAACCACAGCTATCATCATACTGAGTGTGGGAATGCAGGAATGCTTTTCCTCTAAGAACTGGAAGAAGATAAAGATGCCTGCTTTCATCACTCTTAATCCACATAGTCCTGAAAGTCTTAGCGAGAGCAATCAGGCAACAGAAAGAAATTAAAGTAAAAGGCATCCAAATCGGAACAAAGGAAGTCAGGCCAGTCCGAAAGTAGTGAGTTACCTCAACCTCACAGTAAGTTACAAATCGAACTCCTTGTTCTACTCTTTCCCCACTTCTCACTACTGCACTTGACTAGTCTTAAAACAAAAAAAAAAAAAAAAAAAAAAGGAAGTCAAATAGTCTCTCTTTAGAAAAATCTAAGCACTTCACCAAATATCTCTTAGAACTGATAAATTCACTAAGGTTGCAGGATACAAAATCAACATACGAAAACTAGCATTTCTATACACCAATAACGAATTAGCTGAAAGAAACCAAGTAAGCAACCCTGGCTGGACGTTGTGGCTCATGCCTGTAATCCCATCAGTTTGGGAGGCCGAGGGGGGTGGATCACCTGAGGTCGGGAGTTCGGGACCAGCCTCACCAACATGGAGAAACCCCATCTCTGCTAAAAATACAGAACATTAGCTGGGCGTGGTGGTGCATGCTTGTAATCCCAGCTACTCAGGAGGCTGAGGCAGGAGAATTGCTGAACCTAGGAGATGGAGGTTGCAGTGAGCCAAGATCGTGCCATTGCACTGCATCCTGGGCAATAAGAGTGAAATCCTGTCTCAAAAAAAAAAAAAAAAAAAAGGCAACCCTACTACCTAGAAATAAATTTAATGAAGGAGGAAAAAGACCTCTACAACAAAACTACAAAACACTGATGAAAGAAACTGGACAGGACAAATGGAAAACAAATGGAAAGACATCTCGTGTTCATGGATTGGTAGATCGGAAGAATTAGTATTGTTAAAATGACCATTTTTTTTTTTTTTTTTGAGACAAGGTCTTGCTCTGTCACCCAGGCTGCAGTGCAGTGGCACAGTCACAGCTCACTGCAGCCTTGACCTTCCAGGCTCAAACGAGCCTCTCACCTTGGCTTGACAAGTAGGTGGAATTACAGGTACATCCCACCACACCCAGCTACTTTTTGTTTTGTAGAGATGGCGTCTCACTTTGTGGTCCAGGCTAGTCTCAAACTCCTAGGCTAAAGCAATCCTCTGGCCTTGGCCTCCCGAAGTGCTGGGATTACAGACGTGAGCACCATGCCCAGCCCTCATGTTCTTATTCCTATGTGGGGGCTAGAAGAGTTGATCTTATGGAGGTGAAAACTAGAATGATAGTTACCAGAGGCTGGGAAGGAGGGGAGGTTGGCTAATATGTAAAAACCTACAGTTAGGGCTGACTGTGGGAAACTCGAAGACAAGCTCCCGTCTCCCTGTGGGAAACCTTCTAGCAACAGGCTGGGTCTGCAGTGGACCGCAGTGGCCACCTTCCTCTATGCGGAGGTCTTTGTTGTGTTGCTTCTCTGCATTCCCTTCATTTCTCCCAAAAGATGGCAGAAGATTTTCAAGTCCTGGCTGGTGGAGTTGGTAGTGTCCTGTGGCAACACGTTCTTTGTGGTTCTCATTGTCATCCTTGTGCTGCTGGTCATCAATGCTATGCATGAGATTTGGAAGTATGATGATGTGACTGAGGAGGTGAACCTCCAATCCTGGGCCATGGAGCACTTCCACATGAAGCTTTCCCATGCCCAGAGGAATCTCTACATTGCTGGCTTTTCCTTGCTGCTGTATTTCTTGCTTAGACACCTGGTGATTCTCATCTTACAGCAGGCTGGACTCTGAAGAAGCCTTTAATAAGCAGTGAGGCAGAGTGCTAGTGAGGCAGCCAAGAAGCACAAGGAGGAGAATGACAAGCTCAAGAAGGGAGCTGCTGGCCCGGCATGATGGCTCACGCCTGTAATCTCAGCACTTTGGGAGGCTGAGGCAGTCAGATCACCTGAAGTTGGGAGTTCAAGACCAGCCTGGCCAACATGGAGAAACCCCATCTCTGCTAAAAATACAAAATTAGCCGGGTATGGTGGCGCATGCCTGTAATCCCAGCTACTCAGGAGGCTGAGGGCAGGAGAATTGCTTGAACCTGCGAGGCAGAGGTCGCGATCGAGCCATTGCACTGCAGCCTGGGCAACAAGAGCGAAACTCCATCTCAAAAAACAAACAAAAAAAGGAGCTGCTGTTGACGGAGGCAAGTTGGACATCTGAGGTGAAGTTGGAGGGACAGAACAGGAGCCTGAAGGCTGACCTGAAAAGCTGGCCAGCACTAAGTAAAAACAAGAGAAAGCTGAAAACCAGGCTCCGGCCACGCAGAAGCAGTCCGAGGGCCTCAGCAAGGAGTACGACCCTGCGGGAGGGGCACGCAAAGCTGCAGAATGCAGTAGATGGTCCCACCGACAAAGAGGAGGAGTGAGGACCTCCCTGCTCCCGGCCTGCAGCTGGCTCCCACCTGCCCCGCACGGCTGCTTCCTGAGAGCCTGGCCTCTCCCTCCAGTACTTCTGTTCGTGCCCTTGTGCTTCCCCTATTCCCTTCCACAGCGCATAGCTCGTCATCTCGGCCCCTGTCCACACTCTCCCAGCACAGCACATGGGACCTGATTACCACACGTTCAGAATGCGTTCGCTGTCATCCTGCGTGGCCTGGCGCAGCCCTGGCTTCCACACCTGAGCGTGGAGGGCACGAGTTAGTTGCAGTCTGGCTTGCGGTGGGGCTGGCTCCCTGTTGGTTTGAGCCCCCTTTTTGTTTTGCCTTCTGGGTGTTTCCTTTGGTCCTACAGGAGGGTGGGTGAAGCAGGTGGCCTGGAGTTTCTCTTGAGGGCATAGTGTGTAAAATACAACAACAACAAACATACAGTTCGATAGAAAGAATAAGCTCCAGTGTTTGATGGCACATTAGAATGACTAGACTAAACAGTAATTTATTGTGTATTTCAAATAGATAGAAGACTTGAAATGTTCTGGACACAAAGAAATAATGTTGAAGGTAATGGATATCCTAAATACCAATTTGATTATTAGACATTGTATGCATGTATCAAAATATCACATGTACACCATATCTATATACAATTATGTATATATTTACAAATTAAAATTGTGTGTGTGTGTGTATATATATATATATATATTTTTTTTTTTTGAGACAGAGTTTCACTCTTGTTGCCCAGCATTAGCACCATCTCGGCTCACTGCAACCACCGCCTCCCGAGTTCCAGTGATTCTCCTGCCTCAGCCTCCTGAGTAGCTGGGATTACAGGCATGCACCACCACATCCAGCTAATTTTGTATTTGTTTTAATAGAGATGGGGTTTCTCCATGTTAGTCAGGCTGGTCTCAAACTCCCGACCTCAGGTGATCCACTGGCCTTGGCCTCCCAAAGTGCTGGGATGACAGGCGTGAGCCACCGCACACGGTCAATATATACATATTTTTAGACACAGTCTGGCTCTGTTGCCCAGGCTGGAGTGTGGTGGTGCAATCTCAGCTCACTGCAACTTCCCCCTGCTGGGTCAAGCGATCCTCCCACCTCAGCCTCCCCAGTAGCTGGGAGCACAGATACAAGCCACCATACCTGGCAGTTTTTTGGTTTTTTTGAGACGGAGCCTTGCTCTCTCACCCAGGCTAGAGTGCAGTGGTACGGTCTTAGCTCACCGCAACCTCCACCTCCCGGGTTCAAGTGATTCTCTTGCCTCGGCCTTCAGAATAGCTGGAATTGTAGGCGCAAGCCACCGTGCCAGTCTAATTTTTGTATTTTTAGCAGATACAGGATTTCACCATGTTGGCCAGGCTGGTCTCGAACTCCTGACCTAAAACGATCCACCCGTTTCGGCCTCCCAAAGTGCTGGGATTGCAGGCATGAGCCACTGCAACCTGGCCTAAGATAATTTTTTAAGTCTAAGAATCACTGTGCAGCCAGATGCAGGGTGGCTGAGGTGGAAGGATCATGTGAGCCCTCTCAAATTACCAAAAATTAGCCAGGCGTGGTGGTGCACGCCTGTAATTCCAGCTACTCGGGAGGCAGAGGCAGGAGAATCGCTTGAACCCGGGAGGCAGAGGTTGCAGTGAGCCGAGATTGTGCGATTGCACTCCAGCCTGGGCAACGAGAGCAAAACTCTATCTTAAATAAATAAATAAAATTGAAAAAACCACACACGCACACTGCGGTGGGGCGGCAGCGTGGCAGCAGAGAGGTGGAAGGGAGAGGTAAGAAACAAATGATAAAGCAAATGAAGCAAATTGTTAACAATATATGAACCTGAGCCAAAGATAAACGTCCGTTCTTTTGCACCATTCTCGCAACTTTTCCAAATAAAACGTTTCTTTAAAATCACGTCCATGGGATCTGGAGTCCAAGCAGAGCCCCTTTTCTCACTCGGTGCATGACCCCAAACGAATTCGTTCCTCTCTGTTGGCCTCAGTTTTCCAGCACAGATGGTTCTCTCTGGGTCTGGTAATCAATGTCTCGTAACTCTGAGGACGTTTCCAGACAGGGCTTGGGAAGGAAGATGGCCCTTCGTTTTTTCACCACGACTTCCTCCAGAGTTTCACCTGTCTTCTTTCATCAGCTATAAACTTGCGCCTGCTAATTTTTGGCACCAGCTGGACGCCCACCTCCTCTTTCCCAGAGCCCTAAGGCTCACCTTCCGGCAGTCTTTACCTCTGTGCAGGACAGGCACGTGCATTTATCTCCAGGAAACTACAGCCCCCTAAAGGCTTTGCGGCAACACGCTTGCGGTGATTACCAAAGAGAAAACGCTTTCCTCCGCGAGCCAGCCGCTGCATAGCCTTTTGGGAGTTGTAGTTCAGCTGCAAAGGGCCGCGGAACCGGGGTAAGGTTCCAAGCCACCCTTCCCAGAACTCACAGCGCCCTTCCTTACCAATAGAAAGCGTGGATCTTGGAAAGGGGGCGGGGCAGAAGAGGAGCTGTGCGGCGCACGCGCAGTATGCGTGGTCGGGGAATTCATGTGGAGGTCAGAGTGGAAGCAGGTGAGAATGGAGGGGTCGGTAAAGGCCCGTCTCTGGGCATCTCTGCAATCCTCCTCTGCTCCGTGATGTGCACTTTGGGCAAGGAGAGTGCGTGCGTGAGTCCGCCTTGTGAGGGAAGTGAGAAGGAGCTGAGCCCGGGACGAGCCAGGGATTGCTCAGAGTAAGGGAGGTGTGCATGGGGGCAGGGTGAGGAATGATCCAGAAGCTATTAGAAAGGGAAAGGGCCGAGTGTCCCAGCCTCGGAGAAGGAAAATTTAAATGCACGGGGCGAGATCAAGGTAGTCTCAGGAGTTGAGATCTAGGAAATAGGGAGGGAGGGTTTGAAACTGGAGCGGGCAAAGACGGCGGGGCGGAGCGTTAGAAAGTTAGATGCTGAAGTAATTTCTAGTTAGGTCAACTGTGCTCAGGCCCATCCCGCCTCAGCCCCACCCTCCCACTTCTTCCAGAGCTCACTGTCACTGTACAGCTGGTTAGAGCCTTTTTCCCAAATGGGTTCTTCAATTATATTGGCCCCAGGATGTCATCCAGCTCCTGCTTTCATAAGAAGCAGGTCTTTCTTAATACACGATGTTGAGAAGCAGTATGATGAGGAGTTAAGCTGTGTTTGCTAGCATTAAACCTCTGGGTTCTAATTCTGGTTCTACCACTTAATAACTATGCGATCTTGGCTTCTCATGTAACCTCTCTGTGTGCCTCTGTTTCCTCTGTAATTATATTCTTCATAGGGTAATTGTGAGGAGTAAATAAATTGCTTTTATTAGATGGCCTCATATAAGTGTTAGCTGTTACTGTTACTTTTTTTGTTGACATCAACATGTAGCACATTTTTTGAGTTATTTTTTTAAACTGTAATTGCACCAATCCAACCACAGCCCCTTTTTGGGGGCCCACTTGTCCAGGAAATGAGAGGGTGGTTTAGTATGGTGCTAAGTTCTCTATGGATTTCAAGCCCTTGCCTTGTTTTCATTATTGAACCAAGTGTCCCAGGCACCTTACTTGAAATGATTGAGAAAGAAAAAAAGAAATCAGCCAGGCATGGTGGCTCACACTTGTAATCCCTACACTTAGGAGGCCGAGGCAGGAAGATCACTTGAGCCCAGAAGTTCGAGACCAGCTGGGGCAACATAGCAAGACCCCATCTCTGCAAAAAATGAACAGAATTAGCCGGGCATGGTGGCACACTTCTGTGGTCCCAGCTACTTGGGAAGCCGAGGTGAGAAGATCGATTGAGTCAGGGAGGTTGAGGCTTCAATGAGCTGAGATTGTGACACTTCACTCCAGCCTGGGTAACAGAGCAAGACCCTGTCTCAAAAAAAAAAAAAAAAAAGAAAAAGAAAGAGAAAAAAAAAAAGAAACTGAAAAGGAAAAAAGCAGATGAATTGATAGTACGCTTTCCAAACTCAAGAGCATTATTTATTAGGTATCCTTCAATGGATGATTTAGCACTTTCAGGAATGGGGAAATAGGTAGGTAGAGGGCTTTTTTTTTTTTTTTTTTTTTTTCTTGTGA